CACTCCCCATCAAAAGTAGCTTCTTCCTCCAGCCTGGGCGATATAGTGAAATCCTGTCTCTACAAATACAGAAAAATTAGCCAGGTGTGATGATGAGCACCTGTAGTCCCAGCTACTTAGGAGGCAGAGGTAGGAAGAGGATTGCTTGAGCCAGAGAGGTGGACATTACAATGAGCTGAGCTTGTGCCACTGTACTCCAGGCTGGGTGACAGAGTGAGACCCTATCACACACAAAAAAGTTACTTCATCCTAATGCCTGTCACCATCAATCAGTTTTGCCTGTTTTTAAAGTTTACATAGGTAAAATCATTCAGTGTCTTGTCTTAGGTCAGGCTTCCTTTGTTTCGTTCATTATTATGTTTTTGCGATTCATTCATGCTATTTCGAATAACAGTAGTTCATTCTCATTAATGTGTGTATGTCTATATATACACACACACACACACACATCTGTATATGCGTATATACACACACACACACACACACACACACACACACACACACACACACACACACATTTTTGAGACAGAGTCTCGCTCTGTTGTCCAGGCTGGAGTGCAGTGGTACAATCTTGGCTCACTGCAACCTCCACCTACCTGGCTCAAGCGATCCTCCTGCCTCAGCCTCCTGGCCTCATTACTGTATAATATAATATTTCATTGTTTGACTACACCACACTTGATGTACTCTACTATTGAGACATTTGGCTTGTTTACAGTTTGGGGCTTCTATGAATGCTTCTGCTAGGAACATTCTTGCAGATGCCTTTTGGTATACATCTTACCATAAACGTTTCTGTTGGACATGTTTCTAGGAGTGACACTGACAGATTTTAGAGAATGTGTATGTTCAGCTTTAGTAGATGCTATCAAACAGTTTTCTGAAGTAGTTTTACCAGTTTACACTCTCACAAATAATGACTAAGAGTTTCAGCTGTGCCATGTCCTCATCTGCACTTGATATAACTCATTGCATTTTTATTTCTGCCCTTATTGCTCTGCTGAAACTGCTCTTACCAAAATAAATCTGACGTTTTTTATCTTCATGTTACTTGTCCATTTTGCAGTATTGATGATCTTAATTGCTTCATCCTTGAAACTTCCTATTCCTTTAAATACTGTGATACTGGCCTCTCCTGTCTTTCTCCTACCACTGCAGTCTCCTCAATTTACTTCTCAGCTCTTTGTTCTCTCTCCATCCCTTAAATGCAAGTGTTCCCCAAGTGTCCCCCTTTGTTTTCACTCTAATACATACTCCTTGGGTGATTTTTAAATCTTCTTTAATGGTTTCATCTACCACCTATGTGAGGAAGGTGTCCAAATGTATATCTGGCCCAAATTTCTTTTCTGGGTGCCAGAACTGCTTATACAGCTTTCTATTGAAATATTCCACTTGGACTTCCAAAGATACTTTAAACATATACCTATTTAAATATATTACAATTTATCATTCAACTGTTGATGTACATGTAAGTTGTTTCTTGTTTTTGCTATGTTTTTCTCCTTAATAACATTTGTTCCTTTTCTTGTATTTCCTGTTTTAGTGAATTGTGCCACATCCACCCAGTTGCCCAAGCCAACAACTTGAGAATTATTCTTTACCACTATACCTTACCAACCCTTATCATGAGCCCACCCTTCTCCTACATCCCATTTGCTTGGTCACAAATCCTAATAGTTTTAACTCCTAAACTTTTTTCCCCCCTCTGTCCTATAGACTTTATCCAATCAGGCCCTTTTGATTATCAATATCAGTACCATTTATTCAATACTGGCTGTGTGCTTTTAATGTACATCAAATAATTTAACCCACAATAACTCTGTGAGGATGGTAGTTTTATCCCAGTTATACAGATGAGAAAACTGAGGCTCAGAAAGACTGTCTTAAGGTTACACAGCTGCTAAATGGTGCAGAGGGTGAGATAGGATTGGAATTCAAGACTGTCTGACTTCAAAGCCTGTGCCCTTAACCATGATACTCTGCTGGACTACAGTTACCATTCTCAAAACAGCAACTTTTTTGGGCTCCCTGGCTACAGTCATGCTTTCTCTAATTGGTGTCACTTCTTTATTTTAAATCCTTCAATGGCTCCTGCTTGCTAAGAACCTGATAAAGTCTAAGTCCTTAGCATGGAATATTCTCTATGTCTGGACCTTACTGTTCTTTTTAGCTTTACATTTCTCCTCTTTACCTCTGTGCTCCAGCTATGCTGAACCACGTGCAGCACCTCAGGTGTATTGCAGTTACTTTTATACTTTTGTGCCTTTCTAATTACTTCCTTTTCTTCTTTGCCTGGCTAACTCATTTGTCCTTCAAGACACCATTTAGATCCCCCAGACATTCTATTGAGAAACATTTCCTGACTTCTAAACCATTTTGGTGCATGTCCTCTATGCTCTCAGTATACCCGTGCTCTATCATAGCACTAGCATGTGTTTCTATCATTGTAATTATCACACCTTAAACAAATTGATTGTTCTCTTTTGCATCCTCATTAGAATGACAACACCCTGAGGACCCGTGTTATTTTAATCCATTTTTTTCCTTTTGTAACCACAGTGCCTAGCATATGGAAGTGTTCCACAAATATTTGTTGGCTAACTAATTTTAAATTGAACATAAAAGTACCTGTTCTTGTACACATTGATTTTTATCATCTCCAGAAGGTTTTGTTTTTGTTTTGGATTTGGAGGTGTAGATAACTGAAGCAATAACAACTTATTCTGCATAGTAACTTATACCTCGCCGTCTTCATGTAATTGACACAAAACTGGGTTTGCCTTCCCTATGTCAAGGTTAGTAGAAATTCTAGCACAGACTCATAGACTGGCTTGTAGAATCCTTGGAAGGAACTTGGCAGCTTCAGCTTACCTAGGGACATTCTCTTAAAATAATGGAAAACTCAAGTGGAAAAAAACAACAAAGGGGGAAAAAAAATAATGGAAAACATGGAGTCCTCTATGGTAAGAAATATCTACTCCAAGTGGTAAGAAGTGGTAGTAGTTCTGGACTGCATAGTATAAACCAAGGTTCTCAGAGGTTTCATGAAACCCAGTTGGTGCTTTTAGAGTCTTCCTTTGCCTTTCTTTAGTCTAAATGAAAGACTAAGGAGAAAACACCCAGGTCACCCCTTTCTGATGGCTTAAACAAGTATGTGGTTATTTTTATACCTTAGAACAATTTAATAATATGTGGCATTTATTTATATATTTAATTTTCTGTGTTAATTGTGGTGGAAGTGTAAAAACTAGTCCTCACTCTTAGTTTATTGTCTGTTGTAATGACTATATAATAGTCAAAGTAGTATATAATCAATTTTAAAAATGTAATGATCAAGCCCATTCCTTCAATAGGGCAAATGGGATGGTCACCATGTGCTCTGCCCTTTTGGTAGAGGATGAGGAGGGGATACTGTACTCCTTTTTCTAAATGCCACTGGCTCTGGGTGTGGTGGCTGATACTTGTAATCTCAGCACTTTGGGAGACCAAGGTGGGAAGATCACTTGAGGTCAGGAGTTTGAGACCAGCCTGGCCAATGTGGTGGAAGCCCATCTCTACTAAAAGTACAAAAAATTAGCCAGGTATGGTGGTGGGCGCCTGTAATCCCAGTTACTAGGGAGGCTGAGGCAGGAGAATCACTCTGCTGGGAGGCAGAGGTTGCAGTGGGCCAAGATAGTGTCACTGAACTCCAGCCTGGGCAACAGAGCCAGACCCTGTCTAAATAAATAAATATAAATGCCACTAAAATTCAATTTTAAATCTTTTAGACAAAGGAAGGGGAGGGATTAGGAAGAGGCAAGAGAGGGGGCTCCTGAGGTACTAGGTAATGTTATAATTCTTATATGTTCATTTTGACATTTTATTGATCTTTATACTTATGTTTTATATACTTTTCTATATGTACCTTATATTTCATTAAAGTGTTTCAAACAATTCTAGAAATTTAGAAATTTCTGTGTTTAAACATTTCTCAAAGGGACCTACGAAAGATGTTAATGGTGAGGTTCTTTTCCAGTGCCCTTATTTTGCATGGTCCACCATGGGTTGAGAAGCCCTAGCCTAGTGGTGTGTACATTCTAAGTGGAGTGGCAAAACAGTGAAGGACAAGATTAGCATGGGCAAGAGTCTTTAGGGAAAACAAAATGTCTATTCATTCAGTAAACGTTAACTGGGCACAAGCTATATATGGAATACTGTACTGATGCAGAAAAGTTTGGCCGGGCACAGTGGCTCAAGCCTATAATCCCAGCACTTTGGGAGGCCGAGGTGGACAGATGATCTGAGGTCAGGAGTTGGAGACCAGCCTGCCAAATGGCAAAACCCCATCTCTACTAAAAATACAAAAATTAGCCGGGCGTGGTGGTGGGCACCTGTAATCCCAGCTACTTGGGAGACTGAGTCAGGAGAATTGCTTGAATCCAGGAGGCAGAGGTTGCAGTGAGGTGAGATCATGCCAATATACTCCAGCTGGGCAGCAGAGTGAGACTCCATCCCAAAAACAAACAAACAAGCAAAACACAAAAACCTGAAGGAGACCAAAGGTCAGGGTTGGAGGGGAATAATAAAATGTGGATGCTGTCAATTAATTCCGATTGTAGCTATCTACTAGTCTTTATAGAATAATATAAATAAGCAGTACTTATTTAGCATTTGCTGTTTACTAAGATATTTACATGTATTAACTCCTTTCATCAGCACAGTAACATTATGAAGTAGGCACTACTACCAGTATCTCATTTTATAGATGAGGAAACTGAGGTACAGAGATCCTAAAGTCACTCAGCCAGGAAGTAGTGGAGCTAATATTCAGGCCCAATTGTCAGAGTCCCTGTTTGTCTCCTCAAAATCACTATGCTTTGTGAAATTAATGCAAAGACTATCAAAGGAGATGTAGGTTGATCTGGAGGCACTGTTTGAAGATAGTCAGTGATCCTGCTTCCAGTACTCTGTTGTTTATGTGTTTTGGAGCTCTGTGTGAATGCCTTTTCTTCTTTTTACAGACATGGCTGGATTCCGCCAAAGAAATAAAAAAGCAGGTTCGTGGTAAGTGGATATAGCTCTTTTTATAGTTTGTTCTTTCTTTTAGTAGGTCAGAGGATTTCCAACCATTTCTGGCTGTGAGTCAGTCACTTTAGAATCCTGACTACTGCAGAGTGCTTTGAAATTGAGATAAAGCCTTCTCTTGGAAGGAGGAGATTCCATAATAGAAAAATATAGCAGAGGTGGATACTATTGAGATGTAGGTCAGATTTTGTTGATTTTTTTTTTACAACTGGGCAAAGCTGGGGGAGATAGGAAGAGTTGGGAGTAACAGAAGGTGGAAAAGAACAAAGATGAGAAAAGAAAAAGGATATGGGAGTCAGCTCTCAAAATGGTAGTGACTGAAACTGCAGTTGCCTGCTAGGAGTTTGAAGCCGGATCCTATTCCATTTACATTGTCCTGAACTATTGCATTATAAATTTTATGTTTTCTTCCTATGGTTGTTTGCATCCCTTTTAACAGTCCTCTTCCAAACTGTAATAAAAAGGACTGTGGAAGAAAAAAAGAATGGAAGAACAAGAATTGCTTGCCGCTGACCCTTCTGACATTCTAGCTTTGCTCCTAGCTCTAAGCCCTCTAATTTATAGTCCCGCTTTACACCCTGATAAGACTGATGTCCTGGGATAAATATTTCTGGGTTGAAAAAAGTATAGATTCATATTTTGCAATCCCAGACTCAGTGGCTAATTAAGACTACCTGTCCTTTTAGTTTAGTTTTGAAGAAACTTCCAGGAAATGCTATAGTTGTTATTGATCATGATTAGTGTTTTTCTTTCACCTGAAAACAAACTTTACTTTTCATTTGTTTCTTAGAAGAAAACACTTTTGTTATGGTGAAATGTTTTCCTTTACACCCTGTTTGTAATTGCTTTAGTTTTCTTAAGTAAAGAAACAAAATACTCTTAGACTGATAACTCTCTGCATTTGCTTTCTACCTATAAAAGCTTGTTTTAAAATGCAAGTCACAGCAAAAAATATTAATAATATTTGAGACACCACAAGAAAAGTATAACTCCTTGCTCCTTTCAATGAAAATACTTTTAATATGAAATATTACTCAGGAGCATATGATTATATAAGAAGATTCTTTAGGAGGAAAAATTAACAGAGTTTTTGATGAGTAAAAAAGAATATCTAGTGGATTGTCTTCCTGGATATTAAAAAAAATCTTGCTAAGAAAAGGAACCTAAATATTTTTCAGTTAAAAAAAATTACAGATTAATAAAAACATTTCTTTCAACATGGGGGGAAAAAAAAACCCATGTCCCTTACAAAAACTTTAATAGGGAATCAAATTATAAACATTTTTTTAAGCCAAAGAGAAGAATAACCTTTATTGCAAAGGTGGTTTTGGCTTTTTTCTTGTTTTCCTTTTTAGTCTCACAAGTAATATATCCCCATTGTAAGAAATTCAAACATTATAGGAAATTATCATGAAGAATGTCAGAGTCTTCTAAATCCTGTCCTCTGGATATAATAATTGTTAAACTGATAAAATCTGCAAGATTTTCTTCTAGGCATTTATAAATTTTGCTTTTTAAAAATACAAGTATGTTATACATAGCTTTTAAATTTAATTTTTAAAATAGATGTTATAAATATGTGGTATAAAATAAAAAGGTACATATGAGTATAGTACAAGGTAAATCTCCCTTCTTTCCTTGTCCTAGTCATGCAGTTTTCATTCCTAGAAGCAACCAAGGTAATTTAGATTCTTTCCAGAAATGCTCTGAGTGTAATAATATATGATACATATCTTAAATATGTATATATGTTTTTAGAGACGGAGTATCACTCTGTCACTCAGGCTGGAGTCAAGTGGCGCAGTCCTAGCTCACTGTAGCCTTGAACTCCTGGACTCAAGGGATCCTCCCTCCTCAGTCTCCAAAGTTCTGGGATTACAGGTGTGACCCACCACGTGTGGCTGGTCTGAATGTACATAGACATATATGAAAGTGTGTTTTAGTATAAATATGCAACCAATCTTTTTTGTTTAACATAATTTAGAGTGCTATCCATATCAGTAAATATACATTTATTTCATCTCTTAATTTTAGGCCAGGCACGATGGCTTATGCCCATAATCCCAGCACTTTGGTACACTGAGGAAGGAGTATTGCATGAGCCCATGGATTTGAGACCAGCCTAGGCAACATAGGAAGACCCCGTCTCTACAAAAAATTTAAAAATTAGCTGAGTTTTGTGGTGCATGCCTGTAAGCCCAGCTACTCAGGAGACTTGAGGTGGGAGGATCATTTGGGCCTGGGAGATCGAGGCTACAATGAGCCATGATCATGCCACTGCATTCCAGCATCTGCGACAGAATGAAACCTTATCTCAAAATACTACTACTACTACTACTACTACTACTACTACTACTACTAATTTTTTTTTTTTTTTTTTTTTTTTTTGAGACGGAGTTTCGCTCTTGTTACCCAGGCTGGAGTGCAATGGCACGATCTCGGCTCACCGCAACCTCCGCCTCCTGGGTTCAGGCAATTCTCCTGCCTCAGCCTCCTAGTAGCTGGGATTATAGGCACGCGCCACCATGCCCAGCTAATTTTTTGTATTTTTAGTAGAGACGGGGTTTCACCATGTTGACCAGGTTGGTCTCGATCTCTCGACCTTGTGATCCACCCGCCTCGGCCTCCCAAAGTGCTGGGATTACAGGCTTGAGCCACCGCACCCGGCCTTCCTACTAATTTTTAAATGATTATACACACTTTAAATGGGTCCTATTGATGGGCATTTTGGGTTAATCCCAATGGTTTACTATTACAAACAAGTTTGCAGTGAATTTATTTATATGTACATTTCTGTATACGTATGTAAATGTCTATAAATAAATTCCTAGAAGTATAATAAAAATTATAACTTAAAATTATTACAGATATTCAATAATATTTTGCATTTAGTTGTCATATCTCTTTAGTTTTCATTAATCTGGAACAGTTCCTGAGTTTTTAAAGTATTTCATAATATTGACAGGTTTTTATTTTTATTTTTTGAGACACGGTCTTGCTCTGTCACCCAGGCTGGAGTGCAGTAGCACCATCTCAGCACTGCAGTTTTCACCTCCCAGGTTCAAGAGATTTTCCTGCCTCAGCCTCCCAAGTATTTAGGATTACAGGCACCTGCCACCATGCCTCGCTTTTTTGTATTTTTAGTAGAGATGGGGTTTCACCATGTTGGCCAGGTTGGTCTTGGACTTCTGACCTCAGGTGATCTACCCACCTCAGCCTCCCAAAGTGTTGGGATTACAGGCATGAACCACCATGCCTGGCCAATAGTGACAGTTTTGAAGAATACAGATGAATTATTTCATTTTAATTAATTAATTAATTAATTTAGGTTTTGGAGACAGAGCCTTGCTCTGTCACTAGGCTAGAGTGCAATGGCATGATCTGGGCTCACTGCAACTTCTGCCTCCCGAGTTCAAGAGATTCTCCTGCCTCAGCCTCCTGAGTAGCTGGGACTATAGGCACATGCCACCACGCCCACCTAATTTTTGTATTTTTAGTAGAGACGAGGTTTCACCATGTTGGTCAGGTTGGTCTCAATCTCTTGATCTCATGATCTGCCTGCCGCGGCCTCCCAAAGTGCTGGGATTACAGGTGTGAGCCACCACGCCTGGCCCAGATGAATTATTTTATAAATGGTCAGTTTAACTTTGTCTAATATTTCCTCATGGTTAGATTCAGGTTATGCACTGTTGGGAGGAATGTCACTACAGTGTTGCTGAATTAGAAGACAGAAAGTTTAATGTTAACATTTTTTAGAGCTTTTCTAGCTACATTTTTTTCTTTCACTAAATATTCTCCATGAAGTGTTATTAATTATTTCTGCCATATTCTAGAAATGTTCACTGACTAAAGCTTATTTTTAATATTTTTTGAATCCCAAATGATTAACTTTTTTAGATTTCCTGTTGCGTTTAACCCTGAGCTTGCTTATATGAAACTGGGTAATTGTTTTAGTAGTCTCCAAAACTCATAATTGTTGCATGGAAAAGAATAGGAACTGAAAGTTCTTATGAAATATTCCTACTTTGGCCAGGCTAATCTTGAACTTCTGACCTCAAATGATCTGCCCACCCCATCCTCCCAAAGTGCTGGGATTACAGGCATGAGCCACTGCATCCAGAGACAAAATCTCACTCTGTCACCCAGGCTGAATGCAGTGGCATGATCTTGGCTTACCACTGCAACCTCTGCCTCCTGGGTTCAAGCAATTCTCCCACCTCAGCCTCCTGAGTAGCTGGGACTACAGGTGCCCACTACCACGCCCAGCTAATTTTTTTTTTTTTGTATTTTTAGTAGAGACAGGATTTCACAAGTTGGCCAGGCTGGTCTTGAACACCTGACCTTGTGCTCCACCCGCCTCAGCCTCCCAAAATGCTGGGATTGCAGATGTGAGCCACTGCACTCAGCCTGCATTTCTTTTTTAAAAATATTTTTTCCCCTAGAGCTTTAGCATTCCCATATGACTTACACAACAATGCCATGAGAGCAGTTACTTTATTTCATTCATTCAGTCAGCAAATATTTCTTGAGCACCTATTGAGGCAGTAGAATATGACCTGGAAGTTTGTCTTTTTTTTTTTTTTTTGAGACGGAGTTTCACTCTTGTTACCCAGGCTGGAGTGCAATGGCGCGATCTCGGCTCACCGCAACCTCCGCCTCCTGGGTTCAGGCAATTCTCCTGCCTCAGCCTCCTGAGTAGCTGGGATTACAGGCACGCGCCACCATGCCCAGCTAATTTTTTGTATTTTTAGTAGAGACGGGGTTTCACCATGTTGACCAGGATGGTCTCGATCTGTTGACCTCGTGATCCACCCACCTCGGCCTCCCAAAGTGCTGGGATTACAGGCTTGAGCCACCGCGCCCGGCCGTCTTTTTAAAGTCTATATCAAGAATTGTAAGTTAACAATGGATAGATTGATGTGATTTTATCATATTAGAAAGTGAAACAGTAGGTGGTATTGGTTTGTGGTATACACTGAAAATACTTCCCCCACTCTCCTTTTGAGAAACAATTATGAGTTTGTCATTCTAATCTAAGTCCCATGTAAAGTTTCTGCAATATGAAGCATTAGAAGTGAGTTGGGGCCGGGCGCGGTGGCTCAAGCCTGTAATCCCAGCACTTTGGGAGGCCGAGGCGGGTGGATCACGAGGTCGAGAGATCGAGACCATCCTGGTCAACATGGTGAAACCCCGTCTCTACTAAAAATACAAAAAAACTAGCTGGGCGTGGTGGCGCATGCCTGTAATCCCAGCTACTCAGGAGGCTGAGGCAGGAGAATTGCCTGAGCCCAGGAGGCGGAGGTTGCGGTGAGCCGAGATCGCGCCATTGCACTCCAGCCTGGGTAACAAGGGTGAAACTCCGTCTCAAAAAAAAAAAAAAAAAAAAGAAGTGAGTTGGGTCGAGCACGGTGTCTCACGCCTGTAATCCCAGCACTTCAGGAGGCTGAGGCAGGTGGATCACTTGAGGTCAGGAGATTAAGACCATCCTGACCAACATGGTGAAACCCCGTTTCTACTGAAAATACAAAAATTAGCTGGGCATGGTGGCGCTTGCCTGTAACTCAGCTATTTAGGAGGCTGAGGCAGGAGACTTGCTTAAACCAGAGGTTGACAGATCTGTCGGAGGTTGCAGTGAGCTAAGATTGTACCACTGCACTCTGACCTGGCAACATAACGAGACTCCATCTCAAAAATAAAAAAGAGGAAGTGAGTCAATAATAAGTATTAGTATCTGACTAACTTTGAGATGCCCTTGGTATATGGTCTGGAACTTGCCTTTTAGTTCTTATGTTGAAGGAAGGAAAATGTTGACTATTTCTAAGGAAATACTATATTAAATATTTCGGTATGCTTAAAAGTACACATTAAGACATTCAAACTAATTCAAATCATAATCTGCATATTTTCATTGTAAACTATTAGCAGTAAAATGGTATTTGGAGATGAAACACTATGGACACAAAACACAGAATGATACTTGACACATAGATGTTTGTAGCAGGATAGTAGAGTCCAGTGGTTAAAAGCATGGGCTTTGGCTGGGCCCAGTGATTCACACCTGTAATCCCAGCACTTTGGGAGGTCAAGGCAGGAGGGTCATAAGGTCAAGAGATTGACACCATCCTGGCCAACATGGAGAAACCTGTCTCTACTGAAAATACAAAAATATAGCTGGGCATGGTGGCACATGCCTATAATCCTACATACTTGGGAGGGTGAGGCAGAAAAATCGCTTGAACCCAGGAAGCAGAAGTTGCAGTGAGCCGAGATCGTGCCGCTGCAGTCCCGTGTGGCAAGAGAGCAAGATTTCGTCGCAAAAAAAAAAAAAAAAAAAAAAGCATGGGATTTAGAGTAAGAGAACCCTTGGTTAACTAGCTGTGTACTTTCCTAAGCATTTGTTTCTTCATACATAAAATGAATTAATGCTACTATAAAATGAATTAGTACCTTCCTCCTTGGGTTTCTCTGAGGATTAAATGTGTTAATGTATGTAAGAGGGCTGGCTTTGTGCCTGGCATGCAATAAGTCCTGAACAAAATGGCAACTCTTAGCGTCATAACCAATTACGCTTATTTGGGCTGAGACCAGGCCTTACTCTTAGGTAAGCCAACAGTCATGCTAGAAAAACCCTGAAGGGAAGCCATCAGCTGGAAACATGGAAATACATTCTCCATTTAACATTTACACATCTCTGATTTTCATTGTAGGTCAAAAATATGACACATTCTTATGAGTCTTAGGATTAAACTCTTGTGATTTTCATACCTGAAATATTTTTATTAAAACTATAGTTTCTGAGAGCCACCTATATTACTTCTTCTTGTTTCTAAAATAACTGCCTGTCTCACCCATATAATTGAGAAGAATGCTTTTGTTTGAGATGCTGTTGACAGAGCTCACAAATATGCCATAACCAAAAAATAACCTTTATGGGTCACGTGAATGACCTTCTGAGGACCCAGAGTCATACACTTCGTAGTGGTGTTTCTATTAATGATGGACCACATATAGAGTGGTGGTCCTGTAAGATTATAATACCATTTTTCTAAAGACAGGGTCTTTTGTGTTTTTTTTCTTTTTGAGACAGGGTCTCGCTCTGTTGCCCTGGCTGGAGTGCAGTGGTGCAATCACAGCTCACTACAGCCTCAACCTCTGGAGCCCAAGTGATCCTCCCATCTCAGCCTCCCAAGAATTTGAGACCACAGGCATGGGCCATCACGACTGGCTAATTTTTTTTATTTTTGTAGAGTTAGGGTGTCCCCATGTTGTTCAGTCTGGTCTCGAACTCCCAGGCTTAAGCAATCCTTCCACCTTAGCCTCCCAAAGTGCTGAGATTACAGGTGTGAGCCACTGTGTCAAGCAGAGACAGAGTCTTACTTTGTTACCCAGGCTGAAGAGCAGTGGTTCAGTCAATTCACTAAAACCTTAAACTCCTATGCTCAAGGGATCCTCCTGCCTCAGCCTTCTGAGTAGCTGGGACTATGGGCATGCACCACCATATCTGGGTAATACTTATATTTTTTGCAGAGATAGGATCTCACTTTCTTGTCTAGGCTGGTCTCAAACTCCTGGCCTCAAGTGATCCTCCTGCCTCAGCCTCCCAAAGTGAATAATACCATATTTTTACTGTACCTTTTCTGTGGTGAGATATACAAATATTTACCAGTGTGTTATAGTTACCTACAGTATTCAGCACAGTAACATGCTGTACAGGTTTGTAGCTGAGGAGCAATAGACTGTATCATGTAGCCTAGGTGTGTAGTAAGCTAAACCATCTTGATTTGTGTAAACACACTATGATGTTTGCGTGATGACATGGCATTTCTCGGAGTATCTCTGTCATTAAATGAGGCATGTCTGTATATAGATCACATTTTGAAAACCATTGCTACAAACAAGTTGACTTTTAAGATGGTTTTCCTTATGTTGTTTTGCCTTTGTAGTTGTAATCCTTTATAAATAAAACTGTTACATTTAAGTTAGGCAAAAAAATGAGATCCTCTAGCTCGAATCAGGTGATATCTAAGCAACTTTCTTCTTTTTAAAAAAGTATTTTATCCACCAAGCATGAAAATATTTAAAGATGTATTAATGAAAAAAGAGAAATATTTGAATATTTTGAGGTACCTCCAACAATTAGAAACTTGGATATAAACATAAAATTCTTTTGTGTTTATTTTTATAGGTATCCCTTGGAATTTTACATTTAATGTGAAGTTTTATCCACCTGACCCAGCACAGTTAACAGAAGACATAACAAGGTAAATAAGTGATAGTTAAATATGTAATTTTTACGTAGAGTAATGTGTATGATAAGATAGTAATTCTTACCACCGTAAGCTCTGCTAATTCCCTATTCAGAACTGAAGAAAAATAATGAATTAAGTAGCCTAAGATTGAAAGTTTCTGGTCACTTCAAGGCAGGTGTACAAATAAGTGAGCCTAAAAGCCTTAAGTATCTGTGACCTATATCACAAATATCAGGAAATTGGTGGGGAAACTGGCCTTGCTTATCATGGGTATTATGCCAAACTGTGGACAGGGCTTCTACCAGCACCCTCCAAAGGGCAAGACACAAAAATAGTGGTAAAACGGCTCTACTGTTTTTTTGGGTCTCTTTTCATACTCCTTTCCTACCATGTTTCTTCTTATAGTTATCAAAAAAGCTGAAAGTCTAAGTGTTATTATTATTTCTTCCTAGCTCCCTTTTAAAATGTTTGATGAAGTACTTGGTCCCCTGAACTGAATCTTCCTTGGAGCCCACCTAATTTGTGAAATCTTTTACTCTTTAAAAACAGCCTGCTGATGTCTTTTAAGAAAATAGCTTTTATTGGATTCTATAAAAATATCAACTAAAAAAATAAAATGGAAAATCAATATATTATAAAGCACTACTGTGCATATTTATATCCATGACGTCTTGTGTAGGGTCTTATCCGTAGTAGATGTCTGGCAAATGTTTGTTAATTAAACTGTTGGTTGTTGAGTAACTGCTTTCCATGTCTGATTTTGCTGCCAAGTATCTGATTCCAGGAAGACTTAACAGTCTCTAGGCCTCAGTTTCCATATCAAATAAGAGAATAGACTAATCTCTTAAGAAATCTGAGTATTAAGTTCTGTAAAAAGTCAATACCATTTTTTTCTTATTACTTATCGTCTAGTTATCCTCAGTACATTCTTGAAGTTGAGATGCCAGATCTCTGCCTTAAAAAGTTCTTTTAGTTATTTCTTTTTCACAGTAATATTTGTCTTTTGGAATTGCTAATCATCTTTCTTTATCTAGGCTTATGTATGAAACAAAACATATCTAAAAATCTTTGCTAATTATTTACATTTCAGAGGAGTTTAAGATTTTTGTGCCTTGTTTGGCATTGCTCTGACATTTAAAAATACATGTATGCAGCCAGGCACAGTGGTTTATGCCTGTAATCCCAGCACTTTGGGAGCCTGAGGCAGGCAGATCACTAGGTCAGGAGATCGAGACCATCCTGACTAACATGGTGAAACCCCATCTCTACTAAAAATACAAAAAATTAGCCGGGCATGGTGGCACATGCCTGTAATCCAGCTACTCAGGAGGCTGAGGTGGGAGAATCGCTTGAACCCAGTAGGTGGAGGTTGCAGTGAGCCGAGGTCACACCATTGCACTCCAGCCTGGGCAAGAAGTGTGAAATTCCCTCTCAAAAAAAAAAAAAAAAAAAAAATGTATGTTATGACTAATTATGGCAGAAACTATTGCTGTTGCACATGTTATTTAATATGATAGAAGCAAGGATATTATTCTAATTAATTTAGGAATTGTCAATTTAATACTTTCCCATTTGATAAAACAGTCTGAAGTGGTCAACTCAACCCAGTCAGTTAGAATACATGTTAAGGAAGTCAGGGCCATGGGGCAAACGTTACGCTGATGGGGAGAAAAGTGTCTGAATGCGGTAAGGCAATCGGTTGGTTTGTTGGACTGAATTGTTTTAACTGCAAACTGCAATTCCCAACAGTTTAGCACACAGATGGAGTTAGTCTTAGAAGGTGGCTAATAGTGTGTAGAAGGCTGCATGCAACTTAACTCATCTTGGAGACAAAATACACCAGAATATTTATATCCTAGTGAAAATGTGTCAGTAATATCATCCTTGTATATGAAGGGCAATATCTGCATACTTGGCAAAGCAATGTGATAGAAAAGAAAGGGCCTGCCTTTGGAGCCGATCTTTATTACTACCTGACACTGAGCACGCTAAGCCTCTGAGCCGCTTTCTCATCTATAATCTGACAATGATACCTCCCCTCACAAATTTGTGTGTGTGTGTGTGTGTGTGTGTGTGTGTGTGTGTAAATCAGTTGAGATAATTTGTATATCTGGGGTACTTAGTATACTTAAAAAAATATTAGTTTCATTACTTCCTTTAGACTTTCCCAACTTTTCCTCTTTGTAAACATGTGTCCAACATAGAGTATTTTTAAAAGTTTTAATATGGAAAAATTTCAAACACACAGAAAGAGAGAAATAATAGTGTAATGAACTACCATATTCCCACCACCTAGATTGAACAATTATTAATATTATCTTTACTTAATTGCTCTCTTTTCTTGTTTCTCCTTATTTTTCTCTCTCTCCCTTTTTCTTTCTCCCCTTTTCTTCTTTTTCTCTCTCTGTATTTCATTATTGTTGTTGCTGACATAACATCTTTTCTCTTTTGGCTGTAGATATTATTTATGTCTTCAGCTTCGGCAGGACATAGTTGCAGGACGTCTGCCCTGTTCCTTTGCAACCTTAGCATTGTTAGGTTCTTACACCATCCAGTCTGAACTGGGAGACTACGACCCAGAACTCCATGGCGTGGATTATGTTAGTGATTTTAAACTGGCCCCGAATCAGACCAAGGAACTTGAAGAGAAGGTCATGGAACTGCATAAGTCATACAGGTGAATATGTCTCCAGGGTTTGTTCAGTGTTTGTTTTGGTAATGAGTTTAAATACTTAACATGGTATTGGTTCAGTGTTTGCCTAAGAGGGAGCATGGTGCCGTAGAAAGTTTCCTCCACTCTTTGACTTTGGGCAGGTCACTTAACCTCTCTTAATCTAAGTTTTCTCATCAGAGTAATGGGCATTGCATTGTAGGATGAAAACTAAATGAGGTAATATATGTAAAGCACTTAGCGTAGCTGCTGGTTCAGTGCTCAGCAAATGGCAGCTATTATTATTTTTGTCGCCTTACCTTTTATTTTTTATTTATTTATTTTTTTTGAGACGGAGTTTCACTCTTGTTACCCAGGTTGGAGTGCAATGGCGCGATCTCGGCTCACCGCAACCTCCGCCTCCTGGGTTCAGGCAATTCTCCTGCCTCAGCCTCCTGAGTAGCTGGGATTACAGGCATGTGCCACCATGCCCAGCTAATTTTTTGTATTTTTAGTAGAGACGGGGTTTCACCATGTTGACTAGGATGGTCTCGATCTCTTGACCTCGTGATCCACCCGCCTTGGCCTCCCAAAGTGCTGGGATTACAGGCTTGAGCCACCGCACCCGGCACCTTTTATTTTTTATCAGATTTAAAACTCACTATGCTACATTAGGTGCCTTAAGATCCTTAGAGCAGGGGTTTTTAATTTGAAATCTTTATACATGGATAGATTTCAGAGGGCCCATGAAACTCTTGGAGGGATTTTTAAAAGTCTTTATTAAATTCACTGACTATCCTGCTTTTTTATCTGAAAACGATTGATAATGTTGGGAGGTATCAAGTGATCAAGAGCAAGATTTTAGAGTCAGTCTGAGCTGGATTGAAATGTTGACCTAGGTTCCTTGTCACCTTCAGTCATTCAATTATAACTTCTCTGAGCCTCATGTTTCCTATATTTCTGATAGAGATTATTACCTCAGAGAACATAGGGTGACTGCTAGGTTTAGAAAAGGTATTGTGGGCTGAGTGTGATGACTCATACCTGAAATCCTAGCACTTTGGGAGGCCAAGGCAGGAGGGTCCCTTGAACCTGGGAGTTCAAGGCTGCAGTGAGCCAAGATCACATCATTGAAAGGTAATATGTCTAAAATACTGAATGCAATGTCACAATGTCTTTCACATGGTAAAAATTAAATAAATATTAGCTAATATTAAAGTGCCAGAATAATTTGTGTTTCTTCCTACCCATACATTCATTGTTACTTGAGTGACTTGCTGTAACTAAGTTCTATAAACTGTCTTAGTATATTAATGTGAAAGTCTGACCTTGGCCTTGAGTTAGTACCCTAAGTTATGTTAGCATGAGTTAGGTTACAAACCTCCAAAGGGTAACACTGCTGCAAGAGAAATCCAAAGAGTAGTCTTGGTAGGCTTGCCATGGTAGTAAAAAATATTCTTTCTAGCCATTGAGCCATCTTGTTCGTTTTGGGGTAGTTGGAATAGGATTGCATGGATTGGGACACTTCAAATGAGAGGTCTTTAACTTAAGGTGCCTTAATTCTGGGTGCCTTATTGCCCCTGTAGGTTCAGGTACCTCAGTCATGAGGACTGTACTAAGGACTTTAAAGTCTACAACCTACATAGCAGTAGTCTTACAAGAGTTATCCAACTCTCTTGGGGTCACATTATTTCCAAAGAGAACTGCATGTTTGCTTTTTAAGTTTGGACTTACACATTCCAGTACTAATGTCTGGAATCATTACATATACTACTTTCAATTGTCTTTAAATACATTTTTAATACTTTTATATTCTGGTTATGATTCTCAAAATTTACATATATAAGAAATATATGCATATATACATAGAAAAGCAAGTACTGGAAAGAAACAAAATAATTTGATTAGTTAGATTGTCAGGATTGTAGGGAAATATTTTTATTTTCTAATAATTTAAAAATATTTTGCCGGGCGCGGTGGCTCAAGCCTGTAATCCCAGCACTTTGGGAGGCTGAGGCGGGTGGATCACAAGGTCAAGAGATCGAGACCATCCTGGTCAACATGGTAAAACCCCGTTTCTACTAAAAATACAAAAAAATTAGCTGGGCATGGTGGTGCATGCCTGTAATCCCAGCTACTCAGGAGGCTGAGGCAGGAGAATTGCCTGAACCCAGGAGGCGGAGGTTGCGGTGAGCCGAGATCGCGCCATTGCACTCCAGCCTGGGTAACAAGAGCGAAACTCCATCTCAAAAAAAAAAAAAAATTTATTAGTAATAATATATTACCTTTGGGCAATCAGTAAAATAGTAAAAGAAGATATTTTACTGCTGCTATAGAGTTGAACCACAGAAAATGATGGTGTCAGATTATGACTGTTACTTTAAATCTTTCTCTGATTGTTTTTTTAAAGAGAGATGGAGTCTCACTCTCGCCCAGACTGGAGTGCAGTGTGATGTGATCATAGCTCACTACAGCTTCAATCTCCTAGGCTCAAGTGATCATCTCAGCCTTCTGAGTAGCTAGGACTATATGTATGTGCTACAAAGCTCAGCTAATTTTTAAATTTTTTTTATAGAAATGGTAGTCTCACCATGTTGTTCAGGCCGATCTCAGACTCCTGGCCTCAAGACTCCCAAAGTGTTAGATCTACAGGCGTGAGCCACTGTGCACAGCCTAATGAGCCTTTTAAAGTCTACAGCCTACATATGTAGTCTTATACGAGTTACTCAACTCTCTTGGGGTCACACTATTTCCAAAGAGAACTGCACATTTGCTTTTTAAGTTTGGACTTACCTGATCATAATAGAATCTCAGGTTTGAGAGGACATATATTCTCTCATTCAGTGCTTGATTCTCCATAATCATTATAGTTAGTAGCCAGTTACTGTGCATCCATTATTATATGCTAGATACTATGATAAGCACTTGATGTCAAACGTTATGTTTAATTTTTTTTTTTTTTTTTTTTTTTTTTTTTTTTTTTTTTTTGAGGCGGAGTTTCGCTCTTGTTACCCAGGCTGGAGTGCAATGGCGCGATCTCGGCTCACCGCAACCTCCGCCTCCTGGGTTCAGGCAATTCTCCTGCCTCAGCCTCCTGAGTAGCTGGGATTACAGGCACGCACCACCATGCCCAGCTAACTTTTTGTATTTTTAGTAGAGACGGGGTTTCACCTTGCTGACCAGGATGGTCTTGATCTCTTGACCTCGTGATCCACCCGCCTCGGCCTCCCAAAGTGCTGGGATTACAGGCTTGAGCCACCGCGCCCGGCCTATGTTTAATTTTTATAACCACCCTTTGAGTTAGGACAATAGTTCCTAAAGGGTGGTCTGTAGATCTTGGAGATCTTCAAGATTCTTTCAAGGGGTCCATGAGATCAAAATTGTTTTTGTAATAATGCTGAGATGTTAGTTGCCTTTTTCACTGTGTTCACATGGGTGGAGCACAAATCAAGGCAGTTGCAGCAAACTACTAATAGTCATTATATTGTTCTCCAACATGCACTTGGCAGTTAAAAAGAAAGCCAGCTTACCTTAGAATTTTCCTAATGAAGCAGCAAAAAGTATTAATTTTATTAAGTCTTGAATACATTTCTATTTCATATTCTATGTGATTAGATGGGAAGTATACACAAAGCCTTTCTGCTGCATACTGAAATACAGCAGTTGTCTCAGGGAAAAGCACTTGTGCAATTGAGTTGTGGACTGAAATTGGCCATCTTTCCTATGTAACACCATGTTTTCTTGAAAAAATGACAAACTATGATTATTCGGACTTGGTTATTTGACATACATTTTCTCAAAAATGAAATGAGCTTTTAGGAAAGCAACTGACAGTATTTGTTGCTAATGACAAAATTCAAGCTTTCCAGTAAAAATTATAATTTTGGAAAACTTTTATATACCCCCATGATCTTGACAGTTTTTAAAGACTTTTCTGCTAAGGTCGGTGCTGATTTTAATGAATGTGATTTTTTATACATATATTGTATAATGAAACATGTCAAGGTTTGGAAGATTTTCATAATTCGGTGAACCAGTATTTTTCAAATTAGAAATGCACAGTGTTACAAAATCATGTATAAGTAAACAATCCATTCAAAATGCAAGATAGACCAATGGATTTTAATGTAACAGTATAAAAAGTTCATTGATAAGTTTCTACATTTCGCATTGTAACTTATCTTTATTGGTAAGTTTAGTGTAATACCAGAAAAGAATATTTTAGGCCAGGCACAGTGGCCCATACTTATAATTTCAGCACTTTTGAAGGCCAAGGCGGGTGGATCACGAGATCAGGAGTTTGAGACCAGCCTGGCTAATATGGCAAAACCCCGTTTCTACTAATAATACAAAAATTAGCCAAGTGTGGTGGCGGGCGCCTGTAATCTCAGCTACTTGGGAGGCTGAGGCAGGAGAGTCGCTTGAACCTGGGAGGTGGAGAATGCAGTGAGCTGAGATCGTGCCATTGCACTCCAGCCTGGGCAACAGAGTGAGACTGTCTCAAAAAAAAAAAAAGAGAGAATATTTTAAATTCGTAGACATTCCTTTTCCAACTACATTTCCTTGTGAGATCAGATTTCTTCACATACTGCCAAATTAATATATTGCAATAGACTGAATGCAGAAGCAGTTGGGAGAATTCAGCTGTCTTCTATGCCAGACATTGAAGAGATTTATAAATATGTAAAGCAATATTGCTTTTCATTACCTTTTCGGAAAATATTGTTACTTTTCAGAAAATATGTTATTCGTGTTTTAAAAAAATGGGATTACTGTATTTCATTTTATTTTATTTTGAGATGGAGTTTCACTCTTGTCGCCCAGGCTAGGGTACAATGGTGTGATCTCAGCTCACTGCAATCTCTACCTCCCGGGTTCAAGCAATTCTCCTCCCTCAGCCTCCTGAGTAGCTGGGATTACAGGCGTGTGCCACCACACCTGGCTAATTTTTGTATTTTTAGTAGAAAGGGATTTTACCATGTTGGCCAGTCTGGTCTTGAACTCCTGATCTCAGGCGATCCACCCGC